AAAGCAGTATCACTCCTAAGCGACGACGATGCCACTTCCTTGGATGATGATGAATTTGATGACGATAGAGAACTTATCAAAAACCTTGAAGTGTTTTTATTAACATCTGTAAAATGTTTTGCCCATACCTTGCAATTAGGCGTATTTCTTAGTCAACTCGGAATATACAAAATTAATATAAAAAGTACGTGCAGTAGTCAAATTGTTAAGGACTCCGTCTTCTAGGCTTGTGTTATTAATATTATATTGTTAATACAAATTTTAAGTCCCGTCATAGGTCCCAACTCGGTGGGGCTCAACGTATTTTATGTTCCAAAGACTGCTGGATTATGAGAACTTTTCTGAACATTATATTCAATCCAACTTGACGGCTACCGACTGCACAACGATCAGAACTATGTGCACTACTTTGGAGCCATTATTCGTGGCCACCAATTTTTAAAAGATATGGCTCGAGCTAAAGCTAGTTGGTAATGTGATGGGTACCAGTAGCAAGGTATTGGTGGACTGCCTCTTTTTGGAAAAGCATATAGTAACTTGTGCAGGTTATTTGGATACTCGAATTCGACGTGTGTTAAACAAAAACCCTGAGTGCATAATCAGAGCAAGAATTCAGATAAAACATCTATATTTACAGATACATGCTATTAGTAATGAAATAAGTAAATATTTCTGTTTTATAGTTCGGTACGATTTAATTTAAGCTTTAATATCATTTATTCATACCGATTTTCGACATATTCAAGACGATGAACCTGCGCCATCATCTTCAAGCCAATCAAGTTCGTTTGAAGAATTACAGAGCGGAGAGAACTCAGACGCCTATTATGATGACATAAAAAAGGCGTATAGTGGAATCTTAAATTTTTCTGCCAAGCCGGTCGATTTAAATGTTGAACTCATGACTTATTGGGCAGGCGCAGCTGGAAACTTCGATAACAATCAATTCAATGGCAAGTCCCCCCTCGATGCCTTGGAGGAAAGGATGATGTGTCAAATGGAGTCCATGATGATCACCATGTTCAACCAATTCCAGAATCTAATGATGTCAATGCTCTCCAACCGGATTAATAGCCAAAATCCATAAACACCCAGCTTGTAGTATGAAATGCGAACGGCTCCCCCCTATTTGTACACCCCAAAAACACCTCATCACAAAAACTTAATTTGTTAACTCACACCCAACGTTATCAAAACATTTAATTTATTGCCCCCTGGGCAGATGTAAATAAAAACCGTACCAAATCAAAAAAAAAAATAAATAATCAACGGGGAGAGAATGTCTAAGGTCTTGTTAATCAAATGCGTACGTTTATTAATATGTATTAATTAAAATGAAATACTTTTCATTTATTTATCCCATTTACAGAATATAAGCAAGTTCGTCGTTGGAGACAATGGGGAGGGGACTCCCCCTCCCAAAGCACAACAACGCGAGGACCAGGGCAAAAAGCCTCGAAAGCGCCGTAGGAATGGGGTCCAAGCTCGCAACGAGGCTGCTGGTCAGGAGGCGGCTAGCCAGGAGGCGGCTGGCAAAACCGATGTAACACTGTCGCCATCCAAAAATATTTATTCAATAAATATTAAAAAAATAATTGCCTACAATTTTTATTTTAGAAAGCTAAAAAGCCTTTCTGGAGAAACTCGGGTGAAATGTAGGCAGGCCCAGCAGAATTTATGGCAGAATCGGGGCTATCACAAAAATCTCTTCCAACCAAAAACTTTTGGGTCTGTGACACCCCGAAAATAAACTTGGCGCCATAATATATAAAAACGAAATTATGTTAAAGAATATTTTTAACGAATTAAAGACATGTCTTCAGTTATACTCGCTTGCCTGATCAATTTTAAATATTTATTTAAATACCGTTTGATTAACGAGACCTCGACTTCTTTCCTCCCGGAGGAGGAAAGTTCCCACGAATCGGAAGTGATGCCCCAATTTCAGCTTGCTCTTATCGAAGTATCGATATAGGGTATCGATATAAGGCTAATGTGTTCCTAGTTACAATTTTGAAACAAATGATGTGCCCACAACGCACTATGCGATTTTTTCAAAAACTGACGCCTTTTCGTTTGCCGTACCGCATTAGTTAGTTAGTAAAATTATTATTATTTTCTAAAAGGTACCGTGCATGTTGAAACAACGTCTGCGAAAGTCGATTTAATTGAAAAAAAGAGATAGCGTCGAAACATAATTTTTTCCCACATGGATGGTGTCCTGAAAAAATGTTTACATAGTGGTTCATGTCTTGGAACTATCTGGTTCGAATTTGAATCTGGCGGCACTTCATTTAACTATTTATCTATTTCTTTATCTATTTTCTCAAAAACTGACGACTTAATTTTTATGATATTTTCACTGAACTTGCTTTAGGCGATCCCCAATGTGCCAATATACCGTGCATGTTGGTATAACCTCTGAGAATACTGAGAGAGAAATATTTGCCCCCTTTTTTATATGGGGAAAATCCGAGGTGCATTCTCTGTTAATAGGGTCTTCCCACAGAGAACCATTCACCATCTGCAATCCGTTGAACGAATGGTCCATAAGGTTTTGCCGTTCCGAAAATTTCCCAGTTAGATCCCCATCCAAATTTGACGGACTATTTTATGCGAAAGTGGAAAGTGGAACATTCACTACGAAAACGTAAACAATGATGACGGGAAACTTTTGAAAATGGAAGGCGACAAAGCAACAGGTAAGAAAATAAATGCTCTTTATATTTTTAATAACTGATTGCTTTTAATTTTACAGTCAATAATACGCGAACTGCCGGTGGCAAACTGAGGTGGACTATGCAGATGGAGGTCCTGCTTCACTCGTTTCTAGGCGCATACCGCATCCACAACATGGAGCAGAACACCGTGGAGAACGAGAGTATGTCCCCACACTTATATTTATACCCGTTACTCGTAGAGTAAAAGGGTATACTAGATTCGTCGGAAAGTATGTAACAGGCTGTCTGTCCTTTAAGAGCTACAATACTGGGATTAGGCATGCAGATTTCTGAGATTTCTGCGCAGTGCAAATTTGTTTCAGCAGGGTGCCACGCTCACTCTAACGCCCACAAACCGCCCAAAACTGTGGCTCCTACAGTTTTGATGCTAGAATAAAAATTTTAACTAAAATGTGTAAATCGTAAGTATGAACGCGGATGTCTCGGAAACTATCAAGGATGGAGAATTGGGATTTCAGATACCATACATTGAGATCGCGGGTAGGGTGCGCATTTCAATCTCGCTTTTCTGCTTTGGTCCCTTTAGCTGAGTAACGGGTATCTGATAGTCATGCCGTCGACTACCGCGTTCTCTCTGGTTTATTATTCTACGGTGCTACGAATATACTCGTATGATGCCACGCCGTCGAATAGTACCAGTTATCACAAGAAATGGATTAACTGGAACTTAAAGGAATAATCGAAAAAAAGTATTATTTTGACTCTTTTAATGGGCATCGTGTTATCACTCAAGCAGGTCTTTAGTTTTAACTACAGATGCGGGTTTTTCTATGAAATCAAATGTTTTTTTTATAGAAAACTGGAATTAAAATCCAGCGGTTTATCAATACAAATCTACCCATTCAACAATTATTGAGCTCGGACCATTCATAAAAAAAGTTATGAGCAATTTAAGTTTTTACCGCTATGTGTCGCCAGTTAGCTTAATCAGAAACAGTTAATTTAAATCTAGTGTTAGATATTGACATGTATAGTGCCTTGAAACCCACGTTTGTTTCAGTCGAATGACACGCCCACTTAAACGTCCATAACGAAAACTTCTGCCTAGCGCCGACATTTTGAAGCTGGATAACTAAAATTTGACATTCAGATTCATATTGGAAATAACTGAGTACCGGGTACCTGATAGTCGATACACATTTTAGAGTTCTTCTTTGTTTTTGAATTTGAATTATAGCAACAGCAATTTGATATGCCCAAAAATCTATCATAGGTTTGTGTACGCGCTATATCACAAACGGTCCTTCACCCAAGTCAGCGATGACAACCACCTGGCTTTTAGTAAGACCGTTTGTGGAATACTTTTGGTATACTTGAACATATACCAAAATAATGTGAGAGGTGTTTGTCACCGCTTTCGTAGCGGAGTAGCCTACCTAAATATTTAGTTAGGCCGTTTTGTCCCGACGGTATAATTGAGCGATAATTCCGCGGTCACACTGCTGTTTTAACGTAAGGTCATTTTTTATAATATTTTTAAGCAGTTTTCCCCGAAAAGCGCAAATCGCGGTAGGCGCAAATCGAACGCATCGCGGACTTATTGCAAAATCGCAAATCTCGCGGCGCCCTTGAAATCGAGGGGAAAAAGCGAAAAAGGCTGAGAGGCTAGCGCAAAATCGAAGAAAAAACTGTGTATGTGCGTGCGTTCGAGTGTGTGAGTGTGACGTGTGCGTTCGCTGTGTGTGTGAGCGAGCTGGCATGCAGAAACGTATGTGTGTGTGTGCGCTGCTGCTGCGGTTGTGTGTGCGTGTAAATTGAATAAGAAAACGGAGCACAAAAGGCACTGATGGAAAATTTATATGTGCGCTGAAAAATTAATTTATTTGCAAAAAGCCAAAGAGCTGCGAAAAGTAAAGTGACAAGCGGAGAGACGGGCAAAAAGAAGAACAAATTGTGGATTGCCGACTCTCTGCAGATTTGAAGAGAGTGGGAGACTCAGAAAGAGAGGAGAGGGAGTTTGTGTATGTGTGGGTGTGAGCCGCCTTTGCCAGGAAAACTAAAAAGAAAAAAGTCCCTGGCGTTAAAAGTTGCAAAAAAAAAAATTGTTGAATTCGATTGTTTGCTTTCCGCAGTTCGGCGTTTCGTTTCTTTTTTTTGCACAAAAACTTTTTTCGCCAATCTTTCATGCACGCTTTTTCGTTTATTTAATACCTCTCTCTTGCTCTCGCTCTCCTGCTCTTTCTCTCTGGCTCCGCTCTCCGGCTCTCTCGCTCTCCGCTTTTTGCTTATGCCAGGCCAACTGTCAAAACTGTCATTTACCTTCCTTTTGTCCGATTAGCAAAACGCAACGAAAAACTAAAATCCCATCCAAATTTAAATCGTGGCCGTTCGCTTGTTCTTAGTTTGTTATTTTGTACCAAGAAACGTAGTACTTTTAATTCTTTTGTCCTACGCGTAAGTGTTGAATGAAGAAAAAGTCGGAGAACGAGGAGGCGAAATGGAAAAAATCGCCGCCGCCGCACAGTGCAACAAATCGATCAGAAAATAACCAAAAAAAATCGAATTGAAACAAAGTGTTAAATGAAGGAAAATCAGAGAAATTCAATGGGATAAAAGTGCAAAAATGTCGCGTGATTGTGATTGGTTGTGTGTGTGTGTGTGTGTGCCCATCCTTTTTGCTCCTCTTCTTCCCCTTCACTTTCGCTGTGTTGTTGTTGCAGTTGACACTTTGTACCATAGATTTTCTGAGTTCCTCTTTCCATTCTTATTTCTCCAAAACAGCTGGCCAAGCATTTGATTAACTCCAATTTTCTTTCTTAGTTTTTTATGCCATTTGCTTTTGTTTATAATGTCAGCTGGTGCGGCATTGTTGTTTATTTTCTGTTCTGTTTCGCCTTGATTGTTTAGTCAAGTGTTAGTTTTGTTTTTGTGCCATTTTGCAATTTTCTGCTTATTTGCCATTCGATATGGGGTATTTTTTATGTGATTTTCTATAGAAATTGGATTTCACACAAGTGTTTGGAATTAGGCAGATGTATTAAGTAACGGAATCTAGTTACATTTGCAAAGGAAGTATCATCATCATCATCCGTCTATAATAACTATTATACGTATTTTGTGAGCTTAACTTAAAAACAACAGAAGTTTTTATTAATTTCGCGTTTTCAAATAGTTAATCTTTCTTCGAACTACACAGTCATTTTGAAAATAGTTGATTGATTTAATTTTTTTAAAGACGCAGTGACGTTATGAATTGCTCTTTGAATTCGTAATATTATGAATAAGCTTAAAATATATTTTGTAAATCAGTACATTTTGAGCCAGTACAAAGATATTAGTTACTTCTACAGACTGAGCAGAATTATCTATATTTGTGTTTATAAAACAAATAAAACCTATTTAATTGGCAATCCAAAATAGTTAATATAGGAACCATTTTCAAACCAACACCATTACGGATAAATCTGATTAGCTTTGCATGCCCTTGAACTGATCTTCATTACCTTCAAGATCATAATGAGCATCCCTTCCATAGCATCTCCGATTTCAAAGCAAAATAAAATAATCCTCAGACAAGATCGGTTTTGCCAGGCCGCGTGGCATAATTTTTTGCTTACCCTGCACCTTTTCATAATTGTCACTGGAAATACATTCATGCTTAGAAATCGGATACTTTTTAGACTCCCGCTACTTTTTGGTACGAAAGTTGGCAAAGTCTCAAATCTTTGAATATCAGTTGTTAGCTATAAACTTTTTGTATTTCTAACAGGCAAGCGTTTTAAAATCGATTTTAATGTGAGGAAATAAACTGGGTTCTCTTGGGTATACCCAATAGGGATGTACAAAACATGCGTGTGCAGCCAGTCACGTCTACCAAACAAGGTTTCAATATTTTCTCCTCCAGTTCTATAAATCTTGTATAATGTTGCAATTGGTCGTATTTAATTTATTAAAAGCCATCAGAGTTTTCAGAATAATTCAAAAGATAAAAACAGGCTTAGTTAATTCAGTCAATATGTATTGCTTAAGTGTTGTACATACTTAAATTTAAATTAAAATATAAATGGTTAGGAATTTAATAAGATACATTTTTGATTCTTGATTAATGCTAAACAATTTTTTTTAAATATTATTTAACAAGTAAGTCTTTTTGTTTGAGATCTTAAAAGACTTAAACTTATAATGATACCCGCGTTAAATTACCTTTTTTTAACTGTTGTACCCATTTATAGGGTATAAAACATACCTTAATTTTAAGACATGTTTTCTTTGATATCTTGTTGCATTACTTTTTGTTTGCTGCTCCACACATTCTGCGACTCAATTCAATTGAGAAATTTTATTCGATTTCAAATTGTCATTGTAATCTGTGACTTGTTGTTGCTCTTGCAGCGGCCTCTGCCTCCCTCCTCCTCCTCATCTTCGTCGTCTTCCCTTTCGCTGCTCTTTTCTCGTTTGATAAACATTTTCATTGCCTTCTCTCGTCCTCTCTCTCGCTCCGCTCCTATTTCTCTTCTCGAGTTCTTTTACTTCCTCCTACAACGCCTTCGTTTTTCTTTTCCTTCTCCCTTGCCATTTTTTGCATTGTGAATCATTTCCTTGCGGAAAGGAAAGGAAAAGAGGTGGGAAGCTCTGTGGGTGGGGGCAAAAAGGAAAGCAAAGTCCCTGATTAGAAATCGTTCGTTTTATTTAAATATAAATTGTATTAAGTGCTTTTTGGTTGTTAAAAAACTAATACAAAAATAAGAAACATACATACAAACATGAGCTTAGGGATTGTTTACGAATTGAAAAAGTTTGAACTTGGTATGAAAATATTTTCTTGGATTGCTGCGCTACAAACGTGTAATATCCTTTATTTCTTAGATTGATGCGGTTATTAAAATGTCAAAGAAAAAGAAAAAACCTATGTGTTTTGTATGTGTTTTCCTATTTTTTATCATTTATGGTTTTTAGAGTTAAAGGTATGATATTCGCCTGGTGCACTGCGAACAATCGGGACACCTTTCCTTTTAGCTTTTCGTCTTCTTCGGCTGCTGCGCTGCTATCATCATCAATATTGATTACCGGCAGCTGTCCGAGAGAGAGAGAAGGAGAGAGAGGAGGCCGCTCTCCTTTTGCGGTTTGTTTGGTATGCGGCCCCCGCCCGCCCCGCCCACTTGTAGGCGCCCACCTTGATGGGAGGGAGGAGGGGGCCTGGCTCTCGCTCTTTTGGGGCTCTTTCTCTCTGATTGCAATTTTCTCAACGCGCATTCGCTTGTTCTCTCCTGCTCTCTCTCTCCCTCTCTTTCTGTACTATCTGTTGTAGTTGCTTTTCATTACATTTGTTGTTCTTGTTATTGCTGGCTTGCCATCGATTTTATGCTTTGTCGTTGCAATTAGTTCTTCTTCTGTTGCTTGTTTCTTGTCTGCACTTTTAGTTCCCATTTTCTTTTAGCCCCATCTCCTTGTTGTTGTTTTTGCTATTGAGGAAGGCAGAGTGAGAGAAGAAGGGAGACAAGAAGAGATTTGTTTGTGTGAGAAATCTGGTGCCTACAGCGATACTTTGATTATCGACTGGCAGGGGTTAATGGGGGACCCAAGTTTATTGTCCAGAAGTTGAGTTATAAGAATGGATGTTCTTCTATTCGTTTTGCCTAGGTGGGGCATACATTGGATTGGAAAGGACTTAATCCTATAATTGGTTTATTTTCGGTGAGAGTGTCCATACTCTTAATGCTATTATAGAAAACAATCGTTTAGGGTTAAGGGATCAGTGGATCAAGACATCAATGCCCTTTCTCCTTCAAAAGTATTGTCGTCTTCGATTCGCCATCTCTACTTAAGCAGAAGATATGAAAATACATATATATGAGCGTTTTCAAGTCATAGCAAAGTAAATCTAAATTTGTGAACCTCGTTTAAAAATCAGATTTAAATAAGAAGTCCGTAAATCCCGAATTTTTAGGACTTAAGAAGTTTCTGTTGAATGTTTTGCACTTCCTAAGGCGGTTATTCCTTCCTTTTCTTCAAAGGCGACTTACAAACTGACCGAAAAAAAGCCAGTCACTGAAGTCACTATCATTATCGATTTTCAGGCTGAACTCATAAAGTTTTTGCATTCTATGAACAATTTTCACTCCTTTACTCCCCCAAAAGATCTCCACAATATGAACGAGATAAAGAAGATCGACACCTGCGTGGCTCAAGAACAAGGCCAATAGACTCTTGAAGACCCAACAAACAACAGAGCCCCAAAAAAACCCACCTTGGCAGAGTGCTACGACCAATGTTGACCTATAACTGATTTTCTGTTGTTGTACGGTTGTTCTTCTGGTTTGCTGATTTGGTCGGTTGTCTCTTTTTTTCAACTAATTCCTCTTTTAGCCACGAAATAATCAGTTTTTTTGCGTCGTTTATAACTCGATTAGGCAAAAGAAATAAAACAAAATCAAGCGAGAAAGAGAATAAAAGAGCAGCAGCGTCAAGGTCTTGACTTTGCCTTCTGGCAGGGCACACGCAGAGTTCAAACGCAACTACAGTAATCACTCATAAATCTGGATATGAATCATCAGCTATGGTTCTCAGCATGGGTTGTCCTTCGGGCAAACCTTCAAGCCTAAAAGATCTATGTGTTACTTATCGTTTTGGTGGCTTTTAAACCAAAATATTAAAGTTGTTAATCCCCCTTTGAAAATATTTAAATATATTTTAATTGATGAACTGCTATATACTGACCACTGTACCAACAAATACAAACACACTCTTTTCTAACAAGTCCACGCAATTTATGAATGATCGTCAAAAGCATACGGTTATTAACCAACACAAGTGCTGCGAAAAAAACAGCGCGTGTGCCCGAAAATGTTTGCAAAACTTTTTCGGCAACTTTTTCGCGAATAATTTGGGGCTGCCTTTTTATCTCTTTCTCTTTGCTTCGCGCTCATTTCTGATTTCCGTAAACGAAATCGATTAAATAATGAGTGAGGCGAAACAAAAATCAATGAAAGGAAATAAATATTTGAATGTTCCATTGCAAATGCAAAGGTAAATAAGGCGATCATCGAAAAGAGAAAAGGAGATAAAAAAGTTATTAAAAGCAAACAATCTGTTTTTTCGTTGGTTCGGAAGGAAACCACCTCCAAAAAACTTCTTTCTCACTTGTAGCACTTAACTAATTCAACAAAACTACGACGTACATACCTTAACTCTGACAACTCAATGAAATCAATAATAAAAAAAGGAGGCGAAACAAAAAATAATGAAAAGCACACAAAAGCATCATCAGCATCGTCATGATGATAATAATCGAATGCGAACTACGCAGTTATGAAATTTAACTAGATACTTATAGAAAATCATCCAATATGCAGAAGCAGAGGGTCGGGTTTAAGTTCAGGCAAATAAATATAAAGCTTTTTTTGTTATACGCTTTGATGGATGCCATCTACGAGATGTTTTTGAACATAGTCAAGTGAGGTAGATAAAATATAAACATTTGGATGTAATAACCTTTTCTAATTAAATACATAAATGATGATTAGTGATTTGCAGTCTAAAATTGGAACCCTTTTTAGGGTATAGCTGCAACATTTTTGTAACGGAATATTTTATTTATTTTTAATTGTGTCGATCAATACTTAAAAATCTTTGGTTTCACTTTGGTTTTGGTTCAAGCTTCCGCTCAGTTAAATAATGGGAACCCTTGATTATTCGTTTATTTAATTACCCAAATGAACTCTTGACAAATGTTTTTTCCACTAGGGGTTGGTCTCAGCCTTCTCTTTCCTACATTACGTATACGTCGCGTTGCTCAGTGCAATTATTTACCTTTTTCGTTACCCCCTCCACTGACCCTCGTCGTTTCTGTATATTTAATTTAATAAACAAATAATGGAAATTAATATTTATGTTTATTCTTGATCGAATTTCGAGTTTAAATGAATATAATTCTGATTGTCATCTCGTTCTTTCTCTTTCACAGGAGTTTCATTTCTACAACTTACTGCAGTGTGCTAGTAAAACTGAACCCAAGAAATTGATTAACCCTACGAGATAAAGCTAAAGAAAACAACAATTTGAAAACCCATTCGTGAGCGTGTTACGACAAAGTGGAAAAGTGCAACAAATACATGAATACAAGTATAAATCAACGTTAAGCCCAAATCCAATCCCTAGTTACCCAAGATCACCAAAATATTTTCATAATTTTTAAGAAATATTTCAAGTGTGATAGCAAGTTGTAAAACACCTCGAAAAAGTCATTTTCAAAAACGAATCATCAACTGCAGGACCGAATCAAATCGAATTGATTCGATTAACAGCTGTGCTGTACACATGCACCTGTGTGTGTGAGGGGCGCGCGCGTGTGCGTGTACGTGAGTGTTTCGTGTATCTGTGTGCTAGTGTTTGTCAGTGCTGGTGGCGAAAATTGAAACGCCCGCTAAACAAAGTCAAGCGCTAGATGGCGCTGTCGCTGCCGCCTGTGACCAGTGTTGTTGTTGCTGTTGTCGGTGTGCCACACATTGTTGTTGTTGTTGATGCTGCAGCTAATAAAACGCGGAAAGGCAAATTATAACCGCCCACCAACCCCACAACACAGCATAGCGCTTAAACATCCCGCCCCAGTCGGATAAATAAATCAATTTCAATCAATTAACCTAACAAAATCAACGCCCCAACAAAAGATAAATAAAATAAAATAAAAAATAAAAACGTAAAGTAAGTAATAATCAAGAGTTTCGCATTACCCATCGTCGGTCGGTTCAAATTGCGTCGCGTCGCGTCGCGATCGTCGCTAGTCCTCGGATCGGATCGGAACGGAACGGAACGGAACCTTATAGTACGGGCTGTTACGGATCAGATCGGATCAGTTGGCAGTCGGTGGCACCTGACAACGCAACGCTAACCGCTATTATGCATCGGCGTCGTCGGTTGGCCAGTGCAAAAATCGGATTCGAATTGGCGGGCAAGCAGCAGCTAAAACAACTGACAGAACTCAACTAAACGGGCTACACATAAAGTAGACATTAAATAACCCCATAGTAATACCGGCTTACCAAACCGAAGGTAGATCATAACTTTTTTCGTGACCCAAATAATCCAAGAATCGTCAGCAATCCTGGATTATTTGCTAAAGACTTTGCGCACGCTGAAATCCAATTCGATTATGGCCGAGAATCAAAGTGCGGCCAGCGAAGATTCCGGTCACCAACAGCAACATCAGCAGCAGCAGCAACAGCAACACCAGCAACATCAGCAACCACTAGCCACCACATCAGTCACCGCCGCTTCAGCCACATCGACGTTAGCTAACCAGTCGCCCACTAACTCGCAGGCCTCATCCCCTGAAAATTCCCAGGAAGCACTGCCCCTGGTGCGACGCCAGCAATCAGCAGCAGCAGCAACAGTAGCAGCAGCAGCAGCCGCAACAGTTGCCGCCACCAGTAGCAACACTTCGCAGCAGCAACGCAGCAGCATCAGCAACATGTTCGATCGCACGGTGAATGCCAAGTTCAAGCCGACGGCCTCAAATGCCGGTCCCGGCAACAATCCGGGACGCAGGAACTCTATGCTGACACCGGCCCGAGGGGTCAGTGTGGGCGGCACTGGCGGCAACATACGCAAGTTGACCAAGGTCAACTCGCTGACCAGCAATCATCACTACTCGGTGTGCTATCCCCCCAGCAACATCTATCAGAATAGCAACAATTCCGGCAGCAACTCGCCTTTGCAGCGCACCACCAGCGAGAGCTTGCGTTTGAACTCGCTGAGCCGCGTGGCAGCGGCGACAGCCTCATCGGTGTCCAGGGCCAGTAGCAACTCCAGCCTGGCCACGTCCACCTCCACATCGCTGGCCCCCAAGTCCAGCAGCAGCAGTGGTGGCAGCAACTCGACCCCGCAGCAACAGCAACCGGTGAGCAGTAGCAACAGCAGCAGCAGCACCGGCGCCAGCACCAACAACAGCTTCACCAAGGCCAGTTCGCCCAACAACAACGGAGCACGTTCGGTGGGCGGAGCAACTGCAACTGCACCTGCAGCTGGCAGTCATCATCATCAGCCACATCACCACCATCATCACCATCACCACCATCAGCATCACAACCACCAGCAGCAGCAGCAGCAACAGACTAGCCTCAGCCAAGGACACGCCTCGTTGACCGTCGCCGGTGGATCAGCTGGGGGTGGTGGTGGTGGTGGTGGAGGCTCCTCGGGCAACGCTGGTGGTGCCACCAATCGCAAACCAAAGACGACTTCCTCATTCGAGATCACCTCGGTGACGGTGGGCCATCCCAAGCTGAATGCGGCCGGCGACACTGGAGACGAGTCGGCCGACGATCTGGACGAATCTCACACGGATGACAATAGTCGGATAACGGACCTCGAGAATGAGACGCCCTCGATGTCGGAGGATACGTTCTCCAAGGAGGAGGTGTACTATGCCAACAATGCCCTCAGCACGAATGCGCCGGTGATACCGACTAGCTCGCAGTACGGCCTCGTGGTGGTGGATCCCATTGGTCCGTCGCTGGGCCAGACGATCCAGAATGTCCAGGTGAACGTGTCGGATAACATTATCAATGTGGTGAGTGGTGCCGTCACACCGGGCGGCACCAAGAAGAAGGACGACATCAAGGAGACGCAGCATCGCAGCGAGCGGTTCAAGGTGGTCAAAATCGAGTCCACGGAGCCGTTCAAGCGTGGTCGCTGGATGTGCATGGACTACCTGGACCACTCGAGTGTGGGTAATGGTGGTAATAACAACGAAAAGACTGGCTCTTCTACTTCCGACGCGCACGCAGCCACGGCGGATGGTGCAGCAGGTGTGGCCGGTGGGTCAGAGGCCCTGCCCCACAAGACCACTCAGAGCATGATTCTGCCGCCCACCCAGAAGCTGAACGAGAATCACCTGGAGGCCAACTCGACCGATGCCAACTGGAACTATGCCGAGCAACAGCAGCAGCAACAGCAGTCGCAGCAGCCGCCGCAATCCCAGCAGCAATCCTCGCAGCAGCAGCAGCAACAGGCCCAGATAAGTGCCACGCCCAGTGGGGTGATGACAGCCCCCGCCACAGTGGTTCACGGGATGCAACAGTTGCACATGGAGGCCCAGCAGCAGCAGCAGCAGCAGCTCTTCGACAGCGTCAATGCCAATGCCAGCTCACCCAGTGACTCCGTCAACATGGACTATGCTCGAACGGCGGCCATGCAGTTGCATCAAACGTTGAAGCAGCTCAAGGAGCGCGAAGACGCCATGGACGTGCCGCCAGGGGGTTATCCAAATTTCCAAAACGGCGGAGATGTTGGTGGTGGGTCGGCCAACAACAACAACACCGGTGGGGCAGCAGCTGGAGAGTCGCAGCTGAGCACCAGCTATGTGGAGCAACAGCAGCCGCTGTCGCCGACACCACTAACGCCCCAGGCTGCGCCCACATTCGCAGCTGTTGCTGCCGGGCAGTCGCCCAACTTCCAATTGGAGCAACAGCAGCAGCAGCAGCAACAAGCAACATCGCAGATAGATGGGATAGTCCCCCAGCCATTTAACCCACAACAACAACAGCAGCAGACCCCGCAGCAATCAATACCACAGCAAACAGCAGCAGCAGCACCATCTGTCGTTGCTGCAGCACCACCACAACAGACTTCAAACACTTCCAATGCAGCAGTAACCACTGGCCAGGGTCAGACACTACCGCTGTTATCACACATGACCAGCTACGAGCAGCAGCAGCAGCAGCCCAATCTAGGAGCAGCAGCAACAGGAGCAACGGGAGCAACATCGGTGGCTCCCCAGCCAGCAATTCCCACGCTGCAATTGCAGAGTGCTCCTGCAACAATTGCCGATCCACAGCAATTGATGGTGCCACAACAACAGCAACAGGAGGAGCAACAGCAGCAGCAGCTGACACAGCAGCAACAGCAACAGATTCCGCCAGCAAATATCGCGAGTGCTAGTGCCAATAATAGTAACCTAAACCTAACGAATACGAATGTTGTGGCCACCGCCGAGGCAACGACAAACGCGCTGACCTTGACCGATGAACAGGCGACCGCGGCAGCAACCACTGCAGTTGCAACCGGAGCTGCAGCAGCAACAGGAGCCACATCGGCAGCAGCAGCAACGCAGCAGCAAATTCAACAGCTACAACAGCAACCAAATGCAGAATCCGAGACTGAAAGGTGAGTCACAAGGCAGATATCTCTTATCGAAAGGTTTTACATAAATAAGAGCAGGAAGGGATAGAAAGAGGAAATTTATAAATGACTAATTGATAAATATTAGTATAAAGAAATTTATTATTAAATATTATCGAATAGTATAAGCCAACTTAAGGTCACGTCACTGGTTGGGAACTATAGTGCGGCAAGAGGTAAACTTCGGAAAGCTGATCCAAACCCTTAATGTGTTGCTGGACCTTTTTATAATCTAAAATTAACAATGGCTAGCCTCTGCTTTAGTCTTTATATTCGAAAAATATAAGAATCTTAGGCAAATATTTTTTAAATTATATTAAAATTTTCATTCTTTTAATTTATAAAATTTCCCATCGACTCCCAATAACCGCCAGTTTTATTAGGGGAAATCAAAAGTATTCAGTTCAATGGGCTAATGTATTTGGCTGCTATCTTATCGGGTTTTCCATTTTCCTCTTCAAATTCATTCACAAAAACTTGTGACTTTGGTTTTCCACATTTACGACCTGGTATTTGGTTGTCTTATCTCAAACAGTATTGGGCTGATCAAATATTTACACGATTATACACAAAACGCTGCCGCTATGTCTACTTTTGTACGGGGGACTTAATCAATTAAGAGACGACGACGGTCCCGAAAGTTATTTATGGCCAGAGCCGAGGTTCGGCTTTGGTTTGCATTCGACTATATTTAGAACGCATAAGCGTTGTTTGAACAAGTTTTGAGAATGCCCGATGCCCTGCCAGCCCCTGGCGCCCTCCCCTTCTGAGTATTATCGTCTAGGGCTAGTTTCAGGTTCATTTCGAGCCGCTAAAGTGCCAACACGCGCCGCCTCTTTCCCATCGTGTTGTGCCGTCTCTTTCGGTCACAAGAAATAATTTCGCCACTCAAATAATTTGTTGTTGCCTCTTTTTATAGTTTTTTCTTATATTTTTTAGTTTTGTTTGTTTGCAAATTTGTTGCGTCCATTTGCTGGAATTGCTTGCTTAGGCGGGCAGCGTAGAAAGAGGGAAGAGACCTCTAATAGAGGGTAAACCTCATTATAATAATTTATTTAATAAAAATTCATCAATGAAATTAGCCATGGAATGTTTGCACCGAAAGCGAGCGGTATAGTCTTTTTTCGGGAACGTTGTGGAAAAAGGGGGAGTGGACGGATCGGCGTGTTTTTGTGGGGGCGGTGGCTCTACAACTACAAAAATACGAACGTGACACAAAAGGTCGCTTTAATTAAGTTCGTTTTAAAGTGTACAACCGTTTACCCAATTGTCATACACTGGCAAAAATTTTAGCAAATTGTAGTAAAGGTTTTTTAAATTGAATAATAAAATCAGGCAATTTTAAGCGGCAGTTGAACTTCTTAGACCTAATCTCACAGCACTTTATCTTATAAAACATGTTTTATTATATATTGAACTTAATGAAATTAACTACATTGTGAAACATGCCAGACCAATTTTACTTAATTGATTATTTCAATTTATCAAAAACATAAAACTTTTTATTGGCCATTTGTATTCAGATTGAGGCCATATATTACAAATTGTCTAATCCTTTCATGATTGCGGTCGATTTTAAAAACAATAAAATGCTTTCATCACCAATAGTACATTTAAAAGCAAATATTTTATAAAGTGTTTTGTTTTTTCAGTATTGACCAACTTTTTTCCGGCTAAAACTTGGTGACAGTTTTTTTTGTTTTTATTGGTGCTCCATCAGGCTGATGACTAATTTGTTTGCCATAGAAAAAGTTTATTGGGTGACTCACTTTTTGGGGGTTTTGCATGTGGCGCTGCTAAACGGATTGATTAAACTAGAGAAATGCATACAAAAAGGGGGATCTTTTTTAGTAGTTTACACATTGAGCAAATGCCAAGAGATTAAAGAGAGACCAAAGTCAAGGAAAATGAAACATGTGTGTAGATACAGATACATATACAGCAGATACAAAAGATATGTGTATGTTATATTCTTGGCGGATTGCGCATTTGCGTGTGACGAGGAGCGAGTCAAGTGCCTGCAACCCCCTGATACCCCTTCACACCCCGCCCCTTTTGGTCACTCCCCATATTTCAGAACGATCGTCCCTCTTTTTGTTTTTTTTTTGTACTTCCCCAACGAAATGCAACTGGAAATTGTAAAAAAGGGGCAGACTGTGGCAGCAAAAGGCAAATTACAATGAATTATGTGGCTTGGGTATTAAAAATAGCCGGCACCCAGGGCCGTGGGCTGCAGAGGGGGTTTCATGGAGGGCCCAGGGGGTGACAATGCGTCGTATGAGTAATACCTCCCCATATGCACACTTGGAAGTGGTTTGTTCGTGCTCACGCTTGTCGGCTTAGCAACAACTTGAAGACCAAAACGGCCTGCACTTGACAACTTCTCCGCAACTAGCCCCCCTCTCAATCTTCATTTCACATTTATTTTTCTCCATCTCGTCTTACTCTGGCAGACAATTTGTCCATGTTTTCTTTATTAGAGCAACTGATTGATGCACTGGGCCCAAGGGCGTCTTACCCATGGTTTTCCACATTTTCCCCACCCCTTTAGGTCCACTTACGTCACTTACATTGGGACAAGTGGCCATAGAGGAAAGGGAGTGAGGAAAACCAGTTTGAGCCCTGCACATTGAAAAGGAAAGTCTTTGCTGAATGGCACTCAATGTGGATTGTTGCAACAATCGCAATTGTATATCACTTTACCTTATATAAAGGAAAAGAAGGATATTCTTGGACTTAAATTGAGTAAGAAGTAAATAACAATTGGCTAATTGAAATAAATTAACGAGCTTTATCAGAACTATAAAAGGAGTTTCTGTATATGTTTTTATAAACAAACTAATATTTTATTTGAAAACCCCTTTTGCTTTCTTTTTGCCAATCTTAAATTTGTACATTCCCTGATTAATCATCATTATTCTCTTGAAATCAGCAAATGTTTATTGCTGGAATATAAATCGCTGCTTGCGTCCGCCGAGCATCTGGAATATAAATTCTATTCCCTTCCGTTGAAATTTGCAATATTCGAATGGGTTTAATGACAAAAATAAATTCCATTAACTTCATATGCCCGACTTGGCCCCATGGTCAAATGTTGTCATCGTCCAAGAGCTGAGCTCATAACTTGTGCTCAACACACACACTGGAAACTAATTTGCCTTTGTCCAACTGCCAATTAGTCGGGCAGAAGTAATCAAATGTCTCTATAAAAAAGAATACTTTATGCAGAGATGGCTAGTACAATTCTTTCGAAACGGACCCGTTGGTCTTATCGTTACATTCGTAGTTTGGTAGGAGAACATTCAAAGCTCATTTGTTAAAGCTAGGTCGTAGATTTAAAAAATGTACTCAACATGTAAATATTTTTTAATAGGTATAAATTAATAATTAATGTGTTTCGAACAGTGGAACAGTTCACTTGAAAGGTTTTTTGTTTTTATTTATTTAATCTTATAACATTGTTAAAGTTTAGGTCGCAGATTTATAAAGTAAATAACTTTATTAATAAGTTTAAATAAATAAATTAGGCGATTTAAAGAATATTAACTTGAAAACATTAATATATTAATAATATATCGCTTACATAAAAGTTTTTTGTTTTTATTTATAAATATTATAACATTTGTTAAAGCTTAGGTCGCAGATTTATAAAATGTACAAATGTAAATACTTTTTCAATAGGTATACATAAATATTTAATGGGATTTAAAAAATAATAATAACTTAAAAACGTTAAGAATTCTATATACTGAAACAGTTCACTTGAAAGATTTTTTATATTTCGCAAATTTATAAAATTTACACAAAATGTAAATTTGTTTTTATAGGTATAAATAAATAATTAATGGCATTCTAGGAATAATAACTTTGAAGCATTAAAAATGTATATACAGAAACAGCTCACTTAAAGGTTTTTTGTTTTTGTTTATTTAATCTTATAACATTTTTGTTTCCTTATTCTAAACATTTCAAATAATATTGAAAGTGTACATTTTTAATTAATATAATCTCGTAAAGTTCTTATTTATTTCAAACATTGCTGGCGGTAGTAAATATAATATCATATTTAAAGAAAAAAACATTTTGAAAAAGGTATTAAAACACAAAGGTTTTTTTACTTTTACTCATCCAGTAATTGTTGTCACGCGGATTCCTTCTTCTTTTTCGCAGCTTTGGCTGAATCTTTTCCGGACTTTGTTGCTATAATTTATATCGAACAATGTTTCACTCAGCCGCCTCTGTCTCGACTTCTCTGGATATCAAGTGATTGTGCGCTTGTGTGTAGGCAATTGACAGATTTACTGCAATTGGTTTTGGTTTGCCGGAGGCAACGACCCGATCGTCACTTCCAGAGACCCAGGAAAAATGCGTCACCCGGCAGATAAAAGCAGGAGACACCTTTACCTTTGCCACAATCCGAATCCCCCTGGAAACTTGAAACTACGGGGCATATCAGTGGATGTGATTACCTCATGCGTTGCTTAAATCGCGACCAAGGCAGGGCCCACCAACTATACGTATATGTTTATACGTATCGAATTGTTAACTTGACGCGTGCCTGGCATTGACCGACTTAGAATAACTGAAAGAGCCCCGAAACAGGAGCTGGGAAATGGGGAGGTTAGGCCTGTTCTTGGGTTCCAGTGACCTCGACAAATGAACTTCCGTAATGGGAGGAACGAACCGAGGCGGAGGCGCCAAGAAATGCCTCGTCAATTACTCACTCTCCTGCGAACGAAGTTGATTCACTCATACACAACACCAAGCGGAATCAACAATAATAATGTATGAATAAAAAAGTAGCCAAAGAACAGGGGAAGAAGAACCATATTGAGTATTCAACAGTGTTCTTAATGCCATTATTGTTTTGTTTTTGCATTTTCTGCGTACTTGGACAGCGACGTTAAAATCTATGTCAAAGTCGCAGAGAAAGGTATAATATACCATCGCGAAAAAGAATGGACACCTGCTCGAGCATTTTGCTG